AGTAGCATGGTGCCGTTAGTAGCATGGTGCCGTTAGTAGCATGGTGCTATTAGCTAAGGTGACCAGATTTCTGACATTAAATCTGGGGACATTTCCAGCTCGGAGACCACAAAAATAATGAAATGTTATCAAGATGAAATGAAAAATAGGGACAGTTACGGTTTTATTTTTACATATTTGTTCATTACATTTTGTAATCAGAGAAATGTTCCATTGGAATGTTTTATGGAAGTGCTTAACTAAAAGAAAAACATGAAAACTTTCTCATTGGGTCCAAATTAAGGTCTTAAACTGTAGGACCCAAACTACTGTATGCTGATGACATACAGCTTTTGTCTACAGTTGAACCACAGTCCAACGACACACATTTTAAATGAATTTCAACTAATTTGATTGTTGATAGCATAAACAATGTGGCAGCAAAAACCTACTTACCAAACCACACTGGGGAACACTGGGAGGACTGGATGTAGTCAGTGCATTGCATAATACTCAACTGGTGGGGTGTGAGAAACAGAAGTATAATATGGACTGGGGCTGATGGGAAGAGTAGCTGCAGCTGTCACTAATAAAACCAGGAGCAGGTGTGACTGGGCGTGGCAGAGGAGCAGAAGAAGTGAGTGGTGGTACAGAGGAACACAAAATAGAAACCTAAACCAAAACATCAAAGTTCATGCTCAGTAATTTAAGTAAAATATCCAACAAAGTTAAGTCAGGTCCTCTGGACAGTTTCTTTGTTTTGAAAGCTGGATTATTGAGCACGAACTTTGATGTTATGAACCACTTTGGCAATGGCTTCTTCAGAGGAGTTGACGGGGGAAAGGGGGACTCCAGAAGCCATCTTATCACCATGAAACTGGTTGGTCCACTATTTGAGTGTGCTGCTTGTGGGACTGAGTTTGCCATGGCTCCTCGGATTGATGAAGTCCTTTGGATGAAGGACAAAACCTTTCAACATAAAAGAAACAAGCCAGAGGACCTGACTTAACTTTGTTGGACTAAACCAAAATAACTATTGGCTACAATTTTTTTTAAAATTGAAACTCATTGAGTTTTATTGTCTGAGCTGACAGCCATGTCACAGACAAGTAGTTCTTTTCTTATAACTGCTGTTGATCAAAGCAAACAGGAAGCGCTGGATTAAGACAAGCAGCTGATGGGGGTTGGTTTATTTAAAGTCAGAACTGGCTGTATCTAATATGTTAAACTTCAATTTGATGTGTTTCTCTGTCTTTGTCTCCAGTCGTTATCCAGATTCAAAGGTTATCAACTTTGGCACATGGTTCATCTTCAGCTTCCCGATCGCCATCATCATGCTGGTCCTCACCTGGTTGTGGCTCCACTTCCTCTTCCTCGGCTGCAAGTGAGTTCATGCGAGGGTTTCTGTTCTGCTTTTTGTTTTGCCAGCGGTCACATCCAGGTGTGTTATTACTGTGGTTGGCTGTGTTTGCATCTTATCATTACGGATTGACGATAATCCTTCGGACTGTGCGCATTTAGTGCCGTTCGGTGCAGTTTCAGTTGATGTTGCTGCTCTGTGTTCAGCTTCAGAGAAACATGCTCGCTGAGTAAGAAACGCAAAACCAGGAGAGAGATGATGTCAGAGAAGAGGATCCAAGAAGAGTACGCAAAACTGGGACCTATCAGGTGTGTATGAGAAGATGTTCCCAAATGTATGTAAATAAGGAAGTAATGTGCATTAAAGATAATTTAATGTTGATTTATGTCAACTATTTAGTGATTTTAGTTTGTGTATTTTAAGTCTTTAGGAAATATTTTATTTTTATTGTATGGTATGGTATAAAGTTTATTCATTTAAAAAAACAAAACAAAATAATTCCATAAACTTAAAAAAATACAAGAAATTTAAAATGAAAGGCAACAGAAAGAAGAAAAAAAATCTTATTATATCTGCCCCTTTTTTCAAACAATTATTTCAATCATAATAATTTTCAAGTAACAGAACAAAATGAATAACTCTTTCTAATTTTTCTAACCCTAATGCAATACACACTAAGCTACTTCATATATATATTTTAACAATTCAGCTTTGATCTTTTTCTTAAATGTACACATTGACTTGTCATTTTTCACATCACTCTCTAGAACATTCCACAATCCAACTCCTTGGATTGAGGTAGACCTTCCCTTCAGACTAGTTCTGAATTTTGGTTTGACAAATATCTCCATCCCCTTAAGATTATAACAACTTTGTCTTTTAACAAAATTTCTTTGGATATTTAATGGTAATGTGTTATTTTGAGCCCTATACATAACTGATAAAATACTATAATCTACCAAATCATGGAACTTCAATAACTTCAGTTGATAAAATAATGTGCTTGATGGGTGACTGTAATGCTTTCTGGTGATAATTCTTACAGCTCTTTTCTGTAAAATAAAAATAGGTTTTGTAAATATTTTACACGCTTTCCCCCAAACATCAATGCAATAGATTAAATGTGGAACAATGATTGTGTTATACAACATGTACCGAGCTTTATCATTTAATAATTCCCTGACTTTGTATAGTACTGCAATAGATTTAGATATTTTTGTTCTTACAGAATTTATGTGATTTTTTTCCATGTTAGCTGTTCATCAATGATTACACCCAAAAAATTCATCTCATTAACTCTACAAATCTCAACACCCTCAATTCTAAATGGATCATCAACAGTTCTCTTTTTGTTACTAAATATCATGTATTTAGTTTTATCTAAATTTAATGATAATTTATTAAGTTTAAACCAAGTTTGTATTTTATCAAATTCTGTCTTCATCAATTCCAACATCCGTTTTACATCTTTACCCAAACAAAAAAATGTGGTGTCATCTGCAAAAAGGACACATTTGAGGAGTCCTGATACATTTACTAAGTCATTCACATATAAAATAAACAACTTTGGTCCAAGTACAGAGCCTTGAGGAACTCCACAAGTGATATTGCAGAGGTCAGATCTTACATCATTTATTTGTACAAACTGTTTCCTATCTTTTAAATAGCTAGATACCCAGTGTAATGCTGGTCCTCTTATACCATATTTATTTAA